GTACACTAAAGGCTTTAGGCTGAAGCAGCATGACTGATAGCACATTCGAAACCAGAGCAGACTGCATGGCAATGCAGATTCCTGAGTCACTGTAGGCCTTCCCTTGTTAAGTTCTGCAGAATGCAATGATATTTTACGGGTGCGCATAAGAAGAGCTGTTTTTCTTTTGTTTTTCAGATTTTCCAAATGTGGTTATCGAAGGAGTTCTCCATGGGATATTTTACCCTTATCTACAGCCCAGGTAGAAATCTTCCATGGCCAGAAGAAGCTGAAGCAAGTTTCAAAGTTGCAGCCAAGGAAATCGATACCTACCAAATTAACTAAACTCTATGACATAACAGCTCTAGCTAGTGGTAAAATTCACAGTCCCAGCTTAATTCAGGGCAAGGACGTTTCCATTAGAATGGTACTTTTAAAAATAGAAACTGAACCAGGGCGGTGCTGAGGTTAAGGCCAAGTGTTTAAGGAGAATGTAGCTGTCAATTTAGAAACCCAGGAAAAGGAAGTCGTAGAACATCCCTGGGAGCACCGAGTGTGACCAAATTCAGTGACTCGCAGCTTCACTCGCAACATTTGCTAATTGAAAATCTTATCCTGAATCGTACTGAGACTGATCAACTTAGGTAGCTTTTTTGTTCCGATTCTGTGAAACATTAATCTTGTTCTGAGATTTTCTCAGCCAGCGATAGATACATTGTGAAGTGCTGGCACCAGGGGAGTATCAGAAACACACACTGCTAAATGCGAGGAAGGGACTAAACTGGAAATTAAATTATACTGACAATATTAGGGCACTTTTTAAATCGAGGCATTTTAATTTACATTACAGTGGAGTTGCATCATACCCAGGAGTTAACTTCTAATGTCAGCACATAAGATAAAATGATCCTCGAAAGCCACGTGGAAAGGTGCCACGTTGGAAATTGTCCATCTACCACAGCCCATTTTTCCTCCATTGTAGGAAGAGGTAACTGTTTCTTCAGTTGAAGACCAATAGAAGTTCTTGATGTTTGTTTAGGGGCTATTTTACATAAAACACAGACACAGACACACACACACACACACACACACACACACACACACACACACACCTTTAAACACTAGAATCACACTTACCCTATAAGATGCTTGCCTTCTAAGTAACAATGTGAACTGAGTGACTGAGGGAACACCACAGTGACAATATTCAACTTGATTTACTCAAGGGCATCCATTCATCGAATAGGTGGTATTGCCACGGGTTTACTGTTATTTTCCTTATTTTCTTCTCACTGACCTCATATATTGACTTAATGCAAGTTCAGTGTGTTTATGACATGACTCCACTGTATATTTTACAGACATTCATATTTTGAGTAGTAAAGGATACAAGCATATATTCAACCTGTATGTATGTGCTGTATTTGGGCATTTCTTTGAAAACTAATTAATAGCTAGCCTATTTATGGTTATTAGTTTTAATAAGCTTCTATGTGGGAGAAGAATATTTAGATTCAAAACTAATTATTGAATCATGTTTGATTAGGATATAAATATGCAAGTTTAAAGCCTGCTGCAAACTTTTAGAAATATATTTATGATGGACATGTTACTACATGTTGGAAACAAGCAAGAATGAAATTATCAAATGTCAACGACCAGAAATAACTGAAATAGTCAAGTGTTGGAGATATTTTTTAATGTTTTTTGTTATTAGCTATTTTGAGTTAAATAAAAGCAAAGAACTTCTTGTTTTTAAATTCGAATTTGTCATCTCCTAAGATTTTATTAGAAACACAAATTGTGTCTTGTCTCTTTACACACACACATACACACACCCATAACTTCTCATGGATTCACGTAGATATTTATTTCTAATTTGAGAAGGTGAGTGTTGTATTACATCATCTATAAGCCAATAGGTACTCAGTAAATTATTCCGATTTACCAAGATAGTAAGAATTTTTTAAAAAATAAAGACCAAGCATCTTTGGTGGCACACTACTCAAGAAACATTTTTTGAGAATTAATTTTTTCTTAGTGACGACTTTCATTTTTTATCTTTATGTAAATGTTGATTATAGAATTTCATATTTCAATTCCGTTGCAGGAACTAGAAACCACAGAAGGTATTTTCAGCAGAATGGAGTAATAGGAAACTGAATACTTACAGAATCTTTCAAAGGATGAGAGGAGTGATCTCATGGTGGGTCTCCAGGAATGACTCCCAGAGCATTCCAGCAACCTCCAGTACCCATGTGCCAGGGGAGTTACAACTTCTGCCTTAAGTAGGAATTCAGGGAGTCAGGAGGCTGCTACTGGAGCAATTGAGGTAAACATCAGCACTGTAGCTGCAATCCAGGATCAGCACAAAGTAACTATTACCACCGTAACTGCCTCGTAGCAGCCACCAGGAACAAAGTGTCCAGTTGCCACCGCCTACTCCACAATACACCCATGGCCTTGCTTGCCAGCAACCAGACCCGAAAGCAGCAGGAAGATGGTATTCAACCACTTCCATCTTCCACTCCACATCCCATGGAAGTCCATCCAGTTGTCCGAACCTTATTCTTGATCCCCAGCTTCAAGGGAGTCTGGGAAGGAGTTGGAGTGTCTGATGTCTGCAGCTCTAGAATGCACATGGTAAGATGTGCAATCACTATACTTAGTTTACACGTATACTTCCAGAGAGATTTCATCCACATGCAAGCAAATAATGTACATTTAGTGTACATATATTTCATTTCCCCCTTTTTTACAAAACATGGATTTTTAAAAGCGTGGATTCATGGGCAATAGACAAGTAAAGAATAGAGGGAAGAAAACAATAAAGAAAAGAAATCCCATTACCACTTAAGCCAGGATATGGGGACAGCCCAACCCCCTAGTTCTTGAATTTGGTGACATGCCTGGCACTGATCTCCTCCTGTCTTCCAGTGCCGTTTCATGCAAAGCCTCTCCCAGCCCTCACCTCCATCACCTGGCCATTCTGCATACTGGCAGCCCTGGTGCCCTTCTTTCTCTTACTGCCCTTTCTACTCCCCCCCATCCTATTTCAAACAGTGGGCCATGTATACAACCCCAATAATACTGTGACCACCGCTACCTGGTAAATCCTCCAGTCATTTCACTTTGAAATGTGTAGAAATCTCATGATCATGGTTTAGAAATAACAAATAGCTTTTATCTTGCTTGTTACCTTTGATCTATTGATAACAGCTGCCTGAAGTACTCTATTAAGAAGGATTCTGACACACCCATTAGAGTGACTGCTATCAAAAAAAAATCAGAAAATAACAAGTGTTGACAAGGATGTGGAGACATTCAAATCCTTATACATTGCTGGTGGGAATGTAAAATGGTTCAGCCTCTGTGGAAAATGGTATAGCAGTGCTTCAAGAAATTAAACATAAAATTATCATATGATCTAGCAATTTCACAGATATATATCTAAAAGAAGTGAAAGCGAAGACTCAAACATATTTTTACACCAAGCCCAAAGGTGGAAGCAACCCAAGTGCCCATTGACAGATGAGTGGATAAACAAAATGTGTATACATATGATGGAATATTTTTCTACCCTAAAAAGGAAGGAAATTCTGACACCTGCTATAACATGATTAAACCTTGAAGACATTATGCGAAGTGAAATAAGCCAGTCACCAAAAGACAACTACTTTATGACTCTACTTATATGAGATACTTAGAGTAGTTGAACTAGAAACAGCAATAGAATGAATGGTGGTTGCCAGGGGCTGGGGGAGGGGGAAATGGAGAATTGGTGTTCAGTGCGTTTTGGTTTGGGAAGATGAGAAAGTTCTAAAGCTGGATAATGATGATGGTTGCACAACAGCATGAATGTACTTAATGCCACTGACTGAACTGTACACTTAAAAACAGGTAAAAATGGTAAATTTTATGTCATGTATATTTTATCACAATTTTCTTTAAAAGTATTTTTTACATAAAGGATTTCGAGTGCATGTACTAGGTTCATTGGGTAAGGGTGTAATAACCAATTGGTGTTACTGGCCAAGGGTGCAGGAGGTGTTTTGGCACACATACCAAAACTATTCTCATATTTTTGTCAACTTCTAGGATTCTAAAACAATCATTCTGAACCAAAGATATGCATCAGAGTCACCTAAGACTGAATCAATAAATCTGGACCGGGGCCTGTCCTTAGAAAAACTGCCCAATTGATTCTGATACACACTTATGTTAGGAACCATGGTTTGAGGGAGATGGTTTAACTACCTTTTTAATGATTATTGACTTTTATACCTCCTGTAGAACCCACTATCAAGAGAGCATTGATTCAACTCTCAGGTATTGCAGGTGGCCTCAGAGATGGACTTGCCTTAGTCCATTCTGGCAGCTGTAACAGAAATGCATAGACTGGCTGCTTATAAACAACACAGATTTATTTCTCACAGTTCTGGAGACTGAGAAGTCCAAAATCAGAGTACTGGCACTTTCCGTGTCTGGTGAGGGGCTCTCGTTTCACTGTGCCCTCACATGGCCGAAAAGGGGCAAGGGATCTCTCTGGGGCCCCTTTTATAATGGCACTAATCCCTAATCACCTTCCAAAGGCCCCAAGTCCCAAACACCATCACATTATGGATTAAGTTTCAACTTAATATGAATTAGGGTGGGGGGTGGCGATCTCAGGAACCCCTGCAGACGGAGTAGATGGTTGGCAGCCTGTGTTCAGTGCTGGCTACGTGCTTCACACCCAGAACTGCATAGATATGTGTAGGATACATGACCTTGCAATCAGGATTTGCTGACATCTTCCCAGATTACGATAATGACTCATTATATCCTGCTTGTTCTGAAAACAGCGATTTTCTACAGTTTGTTCACCAGTTTGATACACAGATTGATAATGGGGTAACGGTACATTTAGATGATTTCTAAAATGTCTACCCTTCTTTACAAATTAATAAATAAGTGAATTCAGTGATTATAAACCATGGTTTTGTGACATCAGGGCAGTAGTTTTTGAAGTTTGGACCCTGGACCAGCAGCATCAGCATCACCTAAGAACTTGATAGAAATGTAGTCTCAGGCCCTGCCCCAGACTTACAGACTCAGACACTCTGAGAGGGGCCCGGAAATCTGACAAGGTCTTCAGGTGATTCTGAGGCACGATTAGGTTTGAGAACCACAACCCTAGGGCATTTAAAACTATCTTCATGTTGCACATTTTTTAAAGGTTTGAACTTTTTTTAATTAAAAAAAAAAAAACCTTAATGATTTTTTTCATCAAGGGGAGCAGGCACAAAATCAAACGATGCCAGGATGGCTACTACAATGTCGGGATACCTTTAAGACAAGAGTCCAACCTTTCAGCAACTCAACAGAACCAATAGGTATTTTAAATGTAGTAAAAGATAAGAAATATGCACTTAGAATTTGTCTTCTTTTAAATGGACTTTTAGACCTGGTTGTCATGGTAATCGCCCTTCATCACAGAAGGCAACATGGTATCTAAGTTCTTGGTATCTTTCTAAATTTGAGTTTGAGTAAACTAGAATACTTGCCTTCATGGAACTTAAAGAATAATGTGATATCGATAGATAAACTCCCCTCAAATTTGTAATTATAAAGTGCAAGTGCTATGAAGGAAAAATAAGGTTTACTTATGTGATGTACAGGGAAGATTTGGGCACATCAGGAAACTGCTCAGAGGTAGTGACATTGAAATTGATCCCTAGAGTATGTTGGAGGAATTATCCAAGCAGAGAATGGAGGGAGGGGAAGGGTGTTGCAGAGACATTAGCAGGTTCCAAAGCCCTGAATCAGGGGAGAGAGCTGCAGTCAAGGTCCCCAAGGAAAGCTGGTGCATATGGAGAATAGTGAGGAGCTTGGGGCCAGATTCCACAGGGCCCTCAGGGGGCGGCATTCAAGAGTTTGTCTCATGGCCTCCATGCAATGGGAAACCACTGATGGGTTTTACGCAGGATGGATATGATCTGATTTTTTTTTTCCAGCTTTATTGAGGTATAATTGGCAAATAATGATTTATTTTATTTTTTACATTTATTTTTCTTTATTAAGCATGAAATTTTTTAAAACATAATTTTTTTAAAAAATCCTCCAAATGGCTCGCAGGCATCAGCAAACCATATGCAATTTGGGATAACGTGATGTATCATACTTGATCTATTTTTTAAAGATTACTCTGGCTGCTTATGGAGAATTGATTAGACAAGCATAGGATCTGAAGCAGAGATACTGTTAGGCAGCCACTTGAATAACCTGGGTGAGAAACAGCCTTCTGGTTTAGGGTGGTAGCACTGGAGAGGATGAGACATGGATATTCAAGATGTATTACAGAGCCATCAGTGAATTTACTGCTCACTTGGATGTGGAAGGTAAAACAAGGGAGAAAAGTCCAGGTTGAGTTTGGGGCTTGAACGGTTGAGTGGATGGTGGTGCCATTCAGTGATTGGGGCTGGGAATGAGCGGTTGGGACCTTCTATAGACTGAATGTTTGTGTCTCCCCAAAATTCATATGTTGAAAGCTAATCCCCAAAGTGATAGTATTTGAAGGTAGGCCTTGAAGATGTGATTAAGTCAAGAGGTCAGAGAGCTTCCATGCCCCTTCCATCATGCGAGGGCACAGCAAAAAGATGGCAGTCTGTGAACCTGGGAGAAAGTACTCATCAGACCCCAAAATTGCCTTCATCCTGGATCCCAGCCTCCAAAACGGTGAGAAATACATTTCTGTTATTTACAAGCCCCCCCACTCTAT